CTCTCTATATATATATATATATATATATATATATAGGCCTATATATATATATATATATATATATATTTATATACATACATACATACATATTCGCTCCTGTACAGTCTTTCTTGGCTACATATAGTGCTCATCTACACTTCTGGGCATTTTAAGATATTTTTAATTATTAATTACTTTTAAATGCATTTAAACCCGTCTTTGATATAAAGCCTTAAAAAAACACACATCTTTTACATTATTTTATATATAAATTCCAAACGAAACAAAGCTAAGACTGCTTTAAAATTATAAACATAAATACAATTATGAACCCCCCAAAAGACACGCCTTTGGATTCACTCTCGTCTTTACCAAAACGCAACAGGCGTATCCCAAGTGAGATTTCAACTCACACCTGTTGCTATGGACTGGGTGACATCTCCCCGTCTTACGGCTCTTTTATTGAGGCGAAACAAAGTGGCCATCGATTTCAACCTTGTGACAGCAGAAACCCGTGGGATGGGGGAGGGGCAACGAAAGTGAGAATGAAAAGTGGGCGTCTCACTCGACCGCAAATTGAACTTTATTTTCTAATTTTATCAGCTTGATGCTGTAAAAGACCAATCATGTGATTCGGATAGAGTCACGTGTGCCAGTGACGTCAGGTTCTTGATAACCAATCAGCGTGCGTATATAAATCAGACAAGAAAGCCGAGGAGCAGCTGACCAGTACGACTCCAGGTTACTACGGTCATTTGGGAGACTCTGTGAACGGTTCGTATTTCGATGTAATGAACATGACTGTCTCAAATCTATTTAGACAGTGTAAAGATCAATCATCAGCGTCCTCTGGCACCGTTACAGCCTTGACCCCGATTTGATTAATATGATTTAATCTAAACCCGGATTTGATCCATTTGATTTAATGTAGAACCCATTTAATTCATTTCAATTTTACAAATACTAAACCTTTTCTTTTGAAATGTTGAAAATGTTCAAGTTCATCATTTATGTTTTATAAACCAAATCAACTCATAAATGACACCATCAGTCATAAACCTCGGGGACGATGTCTGATAACACGACTAAAGTTCTAAACTGTCCATTGTTTCACTCCTCCGTCGTAAACGAGAAATAATGCGTTGTGTTTCCATGGTTACGTCCCCATTCACGTGTATGTCACATTTCGTACCCAGCTTCACGCATGGTTTCCGTTTTGTTTCAGACAAGATGGACATCCTGGCACTCTTCGGCTTGACGTCCATGATGGTCATGACGTCACTGGCGTTCAAATCCAACTGGAACCAAGAAACACGGGACTACATTGTAGAAATTCACAACGAGAAGAGAAGGGAGGAAATAGGATGCAATATGAACAAACTGGTCTACGGTAACTGTTACACACCACACATTTATGTTAGTGTCATATGTATATGACTGTTTGGTAACTTCTAACACGTTATTCAATACATGATCCACTCACTACCTTTATAAACTATTCACTCCCTCAATCCCCTTCATGACATACCCACTCCCCTCATAATCATTCATCTGCGCAAGTCACTTCGTCACGCCCTGTGAGGTCTAGTTTAGCCGTGAGGTGGGTAGGTTGCGAAGTCTTAAGCGCCTCTAGATGTTCAGAGATGATCTTCGGCCGGACTCCACGGTCATCTATATAAGACTCTGGGTGCCTGGGACCTGGCAAAAACCATGGGTGCCTGACCATCTTGACAGTTACCCGTGTGTCTGGTATCAAAATAATACATTTTGTTCCTGTTGTCTAGACACCATCCCGTGTGCCTTGTTCTATACACCACCCCTGGGTGCCTAAGATCTTGATACCGCCCTGGGCGCCTCGTGTCTTGATACTATTCTGTGTGCGTGTTATTTAGATATCCCCCCCCCTTTTTGTGGGAATGGTCTGAGACCAGAGAGATAATATTTAAGATACGCTTACGCCCGGGGGCCTAAGTATTGCACCATGAGCGCACAGCAACTTTTACATTCGTCCCCACCCGAAAATCATCAGTGACTTAACAAAACCAATAAAAGCACTTCAAACCTATTTAGACAGTGTAAAGATCAATCATCAGCGTCCTCTGGCACCGTTACAGCCTTGACCCCTTCTTTTTGACAGCTAAACCTTTTATCGTTTATGCCCACTAAGAACATTGCCTTCTGTTTATGCCACACTTTGATCACGAATCTTTCGGATAGAAAACTTTCATTGATCTTAGTGTGGGTTCGTTTGTGACATTTTTTCTGTGACATTCTCAATAGTCTCAAAACAAAACACTTCTTTTTTATTATTTTTTTTTTTTTGTAACGAACCTGCTTTATCATATCTATACATTCACAATCTTTCACATTTGTTTGTTTCGCGAACACCAAATCGTTCGATAAGTTCTTTCAACACTGTGGCATGTGCCACAAAAACTTCAATGACAGAAGAAAAAAAAAGCAGTATTGGCATGTCACAACTGAAAGCGAGGTCTTTTTATTTTTTATCTCTTTATCTTTATAGATTAAATTATTGAGACCTACTGACTGTCTACTGTCATAATTATTCTTGGTCGGGCCTTATGTATCACACTATCTCTATAAGTACAATGAATGACACACTATCTCTATAAGTACAATGAATGACACTCAAGTACAGTTTATCAGCTACTAGTTTTTTTGTTTTTTTCTCTTCTCACACAGACATGGAACTTGAGAGACAGGCCAGGCAATGGGCCAAAAGATGCGTCTTCAAACATGAGACGAAAAAAGGAAGGGGAGAGAACCTGGCTTGGGATTACAACGAAAAACCAGAAAAAGAACTGATCAAGGGCTCCTCTCAAAGATGGTTTGATGAGAAAAAAAAATACCGTTATGGGCAGGAAGCATGTGGGACAACTGGTGCTTGTCACTACACACAGGTAATCCAGTTCTCGTCACTACACACAGGTAATCTAATTCTCGTCACTACACACAGGTAATCTAATTCTCGTCACTACACACAGGTAATCCAGTTCTTGTCACTACACACAAGTAATCTAATTCTCGTCACAACACACAGGTAATTTAATTCTCGTCACTACACACAGGTAATCTAATTCTCGTCATTACACACATCTAATTCTCATCACTACACACAGGTAATCTAATTCTCGTCACTACACACAGGTTATCTAATTCTCGTCGATACACACAGGTAAACTAATTCTCATTACTACACACAGGTAATCTAATTCTCGTCACTACTGTTATATAGAGCTTGTTTACATAATTTTTCTCGTGCGTGCCCTATGATTGACCCCGCATGAGACGCTGTGTTCACAGAGGAGCGTGGCTTAGTCCTTTGATCTATTCGTGTTTATGCCGCCAGCTACTAAAAATAATTAATCTGTTCCAAGTAGTATTTTGTAGAAAGAATGTGATTGTTCTAGAAACGTCATAAGGTTTCTGGAAGGCAGGGCTTACGCGACCTATATAAGGGATTGACAGGCACGGACGAAGGGACGGAGATTCAGATAGATTTATTAACTTTACGAGGCGTGTTTTATTCTTTGTGTATTTGTGCGCTTACATGTGTTTATTTCGCCTTATTCATTGGCACATTATTCTAACTGTATTAACTGTGTACCGGTACAAGATCTACCATAATGTAAGTTGAAGATTGTCATTATATTTTCTTTTCTTTTGTAATTATCTTAAGACTTAATATATCTTAATTAATTGTAACTAGAAACTGTTTTGGGTGTCGTATCTTTAAAGTTGTTGACTCAATGGTATCGTCCTTTGTTAAGCACTGTTTACAACGAGCCATTTAAAATTAAAATAGGAGATTAATTTCTCCCAATACAAGTCAGTGCGTAACACTACACACAGGTAAACTAATTCTCGTCACTACACACAGGTAATCTAATTCTCGTCACTACACACAGGTAATCTAATTCTCATCACTACACACATGTAATCTAATTCTCATCTCTACACACAGGTAATCTAATTCTCATCTCTACACACATGTAATCTAATTCTCGTCATTACACACAGGTAATCTAATTCTAGTCTCTACACACAGGTAATCTAATTCTCGTCTCTACACACAGGTAATCTAATTCTCGTCTCTACACACAGGTAATGTAATTCTTGTCACTACACACAGGTAATCTAATTCTCGTCACTACACACAGGAAATTAATTCAGCCATACATACATTATTAGGTACAAGATATCTCTTCTATAAGGAATTATTTCAACCTTAAAAGTCCCCTTGACATTTGGTAATTCATAACATTTAGAGTCCCCAAATTTAGAACCGCTTCATTGTTACAGATGGTCTGGTGGAGCACACAGAAGGTCGGCTGCTATTCACTGAGATGTCCCAACCTTGTCGGGGCCTACAGGAATTCCTGGTACCTCGTCTGCTTCTACACGCCCAAGGGAAACTGGATCAGGGAAAAGCCATACGAGAAAGGCTGCGCCAAGAAATGCAAAGAAGGTCAAACAGAGGACAACGGACTTTGCATGGGTGAGGCCAAGAAAGGACTTTGTAAAGATCAAAAGGACAACTGTCCTGAGTGGGCCGAGGAAGGACACTGTGAGAAAAACCCCGAGTACATGCTGAAGGAGTGCCAGAAATCTTGCCAGGACTCCACAGGCTGCATGCACACATGTGAGGGAGGAGAAACAGAGGTCAACGGACGTTGTGTCGGTGGGGTCAAGGGTCAAACTGTATCCGGTGGTGCCGGCAAGGTCAATGGTGGAAGCACGTCAGGGGGTGACGACAATGGAGATTGCGACGATAAAGATGCCAATTGTCCCAAGTGGGCCAAGGGCGGACAGTGTAAGGACAACCCCGGGTGGATGCTTGTGAACTGCAAGAAATCTTGCAAGGTCTCCACAGGCTGCACCACGAAATGTAAAGAAGGAGAAACAGAGGTCAATGGACGTTGTGTTGGCAGGGTTAAGGGTCAAACTGTTTCCTGTTTTCTTGCAGTGTCTCCGTCAGTGAGGATGTTTGCAAGGACTCTAACACTAACTGCGAGGTTTGGGCTAATCGCGGGGAATGCGATAAAATTCCTGATTACATGACCAAGAATTGCAGAAAGTCTTGTGGCCAGTGCTAGGCAAGAGCTTAACAGAACCCGAAATATCGTAATAAATCATTAAATGTTTGTACTTGAATTTGTTGTTTGTGTAAAATAATGTGTAAATGCGGTTGAAAAAACAACTTATTGTGTGACACTCGCTAACTTGAAAATAGAAGGGGCGTAGCAATCTGAAAGTAAGTTGGACATAGGGAGACTAGACAGTCTGAAAGTAAGTAAGACATAGGGAGAACAGTCAGTCTGAAAGTAAGTTGGGCATAGGGAGACTAGACAATCTGAAATTAAGTTCGACAAAGGGAGGCTAGACAATGTGAAAGTAAGTTGGAAATAGGGCGACTAGACAGTCTGAAAGTAAGTTGGACATAAGGAAACCAGTCATTCTGAAAGTAAGTTGGACATATAGAGTCTAGACAATCTGAAAGTAAGTTCGACATAGGGAGACTAGACACTCTGAAATTAAGTTGGACATAGGGAGACTAGACAGTCTGAAAGTAAGTTGGAGATAGGAGACTAGACCATCTGAAAGTAAGTTGGACATAGAGAGACTAGACCGTCTGAAAGTAAGTTGGACATAAGGAAACTAGACTTCCAAGTGAATTGAAGTCTATAGCCGTGGGGGAGGGGGGGGCGATGAAAGATTAACATTTGATAAAGCAGCGTGTGTGTGTGTTTTTTTTTAAAAAGTTGGAATGGAATTCTTTCAACCAAAATGATCGTCATGTTTTGTTTCTTTAAGGAAATCTAATCAATGTACAGCGGATGAAATCGATATGCTTTCGTGGTAGTTTATGTCATTTTAAATGTGTAAGTATTTTTAAAAATAAATTAGGAACACATTTGACATAAGCATTAAAGCATTATTTTAAGTAATTATCTGGATACATAAGTTAAGGTATTGTATAAAAGAAGCTTGACATAGTGTACTGCAGTAGCGTGACTAGGGGGTGGGGCGGTGCGGACCGCACCGGGTGACACCACACAGGGGATTGGCACCCCACAGGGGATTGACACCACACAGGGGATTGACACCACACACTGCTCGTTCTAACCGAATTTCATAAAAATATAAGGATAACCGATGGCACGTCAATTTCCCACACATGTAACTAATCAAAATGCGCGCTTTATTAAAAGTTCAAGGTTGGTGCGTCAGAAATGAGGTGATGCTATAATTAGGTCCGAAAAAGACCGTTTTGACCTTGAGTAAAGACCGCCGATTGAAGTTTTCGGTAACTTCCGTCAGTGACAGGAAGCTATAGTTACCTCAATTCTGAGAAATAAAGCTGTCCACTGATGCATACATCACGCACTGAGCAGATGTCTGGAGTGATCAGATATGTAAAAATCCACAATGTCAAAGTTGAAGTGAGAGAAGTGTTTCTTGGATCTGGTCATTCGGGGGGGGCGGGAAAGCTGATGACCTCAATTCTGATATGCTTGCAAATTTGAAACGTAATGAACTAGACATAATGATGTGCAGAACTCAAGGTTACTATAATGCTGCAACAGTGTCTGGAATCCATGGAGGTGTTCACGTCATTCTAAAAAAAAAAAAAGAAGAAGAAGAATGTGATTTTTTTAATGGATGTGTGAGCCGTTCGCTTAACTTGTGTAGTCAACAATGGTCTCAACACTGGTCAACACTGGTCAACACTGGTCAACACTGGTCAACATTGGTCAACACTGATCAACATTGGTCAACACTGGTCAACATTGGTCAACACTCGTTTGCCAAAAATGCTTCATGCATTGCATTTTTCGGTACTTTTGAGAGCATATTTTTCTTCTTTGCTGCGCACACTCATCGATGGGGTGTTTCAAATGACAAAACTGGAGTGTCGGTGAAAAGGATGTCAGCCACGTGTTGGAGTGCTCATCCTGCTGCTGTTGAAACGGTGAAAGATGAGTTTGGGGAATGTGTTGCGGTGATTGAAGCTCTGTGGGATCCTCTTGAAAATTTGATACAAGAGGTGTAGCACAAGGTCTCTTTACATGCTGTCTGTGATGTCTGCTACCTTTGCCTTTGGGCTGATCTGCCTGAGGAAGTTAATCTTGCGCAGCAGTATCTGCAGACTAAAGGCCTTACTCTTGACAAAGTGGTGACCGACCAAGAGGTTTCCTCACGAGCAGTGGCGTAGCAAGTGGGGTGCGGGGGTGCGGACCGCACCGGGTGACACCATTTTAGGGGTGACACCCGATTGAAAAATTGCATATTTTCATAGAACACAGTTCCCGGTCTAACCAAGATTCATAAAAGGATAGCCGATCACACATACATTTTTTCACAAATGTAACCAATCCAAATGCGTGCTTTTTTTAAAGTTCAAGGCTGGTGCGTCTGACATGAGATGACCCTATGTTTAGGTCAGAAAAACACAGTCATTATTCCATGCCGTTTGAAATGTTGGGTAACTTCCGCAAGTGACAGGAGGCTATATTTATCTAAATTCTGTGAAATATGGTTTTATATTGATACCAAAATAAGTGTGGTCGGGCGGTTATAAATATAAAAATCGGTAAAAAATTAAAAACATTAAAAATGAATCTTACCCATTAATAGGGTTAAAAAATATATTATTTTACACAATTTTCAACCTTTTAATGATTAATTCTTTTTTATTTAAATTTAAATAAAGAAAAGTTTTTTGAAGACACATATAATATTATATATCGAAACCCAAAAGGTATCTTACGTTTAACCAGAAACCCAACATGAATTTCTAAGTGTCCTTGCAAATCATGTGAAGGAGATTCTTATCATGGATATAAAGCCAGCGAGGTATTTTGGAATTATGTCCGAAAGTACACCTGATAGATCACACAGTGACCAGATGTTTGTAGTGATCAGATATGTGATAATCCACAATGGGGAAAGTTGAAGTGAGAGGAGAGTTGCTTGCATTTGTTCCCGTTAAGATTGGAAAAAAGCTGATGACCTCAGTTCTGACATTCTTACAAACTAAAGCGTGGTGGACTAGACAAGCGTGGTGGACTAGACAAGCGTGGTGGACTAGACAAGCGTGGTGGACTAGACAAGCGTGGTGGACTAGACAAGCGTGGTGGACTAGACAAGCGTGGTGGACTAGACAAGCGTGGTGGACTAGACAAGCGTGGTGGACTAGACAAGCGTGATGGACTAGACAAGCGTGGTGGACTAGACAAGCGTGGTGGACTAGACAAGCGTGATGGACTAGACAAGCGTGGTGGACTAGACAAGCGTGGTGGACTAGACAAGCGTGATGGACTAGACAAGCGTGGTGGACTAGACAAGCGTGGTGGACTAGACAAGCGTGATGGACTAGACAAGCGTGGTGGACTAGACAAGCGTGGTGGACTAGACAAGCGTGATGGACTAGACAAGCGTGGTGGACTAGACAAGCGTGGTGGACTAGACAAGCGTGATGGACTAGACAAGCGTGGTGGACTAGACAAGCGTGGTGGACTAGACAAGCGTGATGGACTAGACAAGCGTGGTGGACTAGACAAGCGTGGTGGACTAGACAAGCGTGATGGACTAGACAAGCGTGGTGGACTAGACAAGCGTGGTGGACTAGACAAGCGTGGTGGACTAGACAAGCGTG